GACAAATTAGCCCTTTGAATAAATAGAATAGGGTTTCCTTAGTTGGAGTAGAATGGAAAACATTGTAAAGGAGAGTTTTATAGTCATCTGGCCAGAGGGTCAGTGTCGATAGCTTTGCTTTTAGCTTGAGGAAAACCTTTTTCAAATCCCAGCAGCTTCTGCAGAAGCACTTGGTGTGGGAATTCTGGAGCAAAACTGGGAGACTTGCTGGCTCGTTAGCATGTTGTCTGCAGCACTCCGTCAGCTCTGTTGTTTATAGCAATGTTATAATGAATGCTTGAATACACCAAAAGGTTCGGTTGTGCTTTTAGGTGCACAGAGTTCCTTTATACCAGATTTGTCAGTGAGGTTTATGTAAGCTTCCTCACCTCTGGCTTCCAAACATTTCATGTGTCAGACTGGAATTATAGTACATTTTACATGCATTTTCATTTTTACACCTGTAAGAGGCTAAGAAGAAAATACTTGCAGAACTGGTGGTTGTAAAGATGTGTTTTCACTCCCATTTTGTCAGTAAAAATCAGGTGGATTTTCAGACCACATAAAAAATAGGAACTTAAGATGTCACTCAAGTATGCCTGTACTTAAAGTTGCTATTCTTTCTGCTTGTCTTTGTAGACCTGCTGTAGGATATCATATTGTCACAGATAAAGGATTTAATTTTTCAACAACAGATGATGCCTTTGTGTGCCAGAAGAAGAATCATTTCCAAATCACAGTCCATATTAGAATCACTGGGCATCCGAAATATGTCAAAAGTCAGATGGAGGGGAAACCAATAGAAAAGTTTTACTTGAAAGCTTTTGGAATAAAAGTAAGTATTTTTCCTCTTCATGATTATTTCTTTCAATAAGCTAGTATGTGATTATCCATAGAATAAGGTGAATAATTGAAATGAACCCTTTTCTTAGTAATTTTTTCCAAGAACTGAAAAAAATAGTACTCTTACGTTATTAATGACTTCTGTGGGGAATTCTTTTGCAAAAAAAGGGATGTTTTGTGGATGCTTGTACTGACATATGCTGAAAGATGTCATGTTTGCCTGTTTGCCATGGTTTTACGGACTTTATTCTCTTTGGCTAAAATTTTGTTCCCTCTGTGGGCAGTGCAGGGGCATCAGCTGGTGTGTAGGTAGCCAGTATACCCATTGGTCAAAAAAATGTGTTGAAAAAAAACCTGTTCACAAAGCAAAGAAAAAGAATCACACCTGTCTTTTCTGAACAGTTCATGTGTAGAAAACCAACAGATTTTCTTCTTACCAGGCTTTGCATTTTCATTTTAAGAACCAAATTATTTCCAGCTAGTATGGCACCACAAGCTTTTGTATACAGAAGTAGTAATAATTTTTAATCTTTCTGAAAGATATTACCAGTTTTTTACTTACTACCAAAATTCAGTGGTTTAAAAAAAATCCATGTGCTTGTTTTACAAGGCAGTTACTGCCAGTTTTGCTTAATGCATTCTAATGCAGAAGAAATTAGTGAATATTGGTGTCATCTGTTCTCCTCTGAAGCAAAGTGCTGCTTGGTACCATTCCAGAAAGGAACAGAAATTTACATTAAAATAACTTTTGGAACTACCTTGCACAGGTTCAGTTCTCATGTTAAATATTGACACTTATGCTCTGGGATAGAATGAGCCAATAACAGGCTAGAATCAGAAAGCAATTTTTCTTTCTGAATGCGTTACTTTTCTTTTTCCTTTCAAATTACATCTACAGAATGATTTGGGGCTTCAGACTAGCTGTCAGGTGTCAGTTGATCAGGAGTCAATTCCTGGGTTACTTTCTATGTAGTTCTGTGAGATATGAGAGGGATTTCAGTTTCAGACATAATTTGCATATCAATTTCTATTTAAAAGTTAATTTGTTTGAAGATTCAATATTCCTGTGATTTTTGATAATTCTTTTTTTTCTTTATAGGTGGAAGCTCCAAATCAAACAATTGCTATTGAACAGTCTCAATCAGATCGAAGCAAAAAAACTTTCCATCCTGTTAAGTAAGAATTTTGAGAAATTTATTCCATTTTATTTCAACATATGCTTGGTCTGAAATGTGATGTAGTTGTTTCTTGGAAACTTACAATAGCTCTAAGCTAGTTTTCTGATCTTCATCTGAGTTCCATTCTGGGTGCACACATAGAATCACAGGAGTAGTATATACCTGGTCTCCCCTCATTAAGGAAAATTTTCAGCAGCTTTACAAATGTGTTAAGTATGCCCATCTGAAATAGTTATATTCAGCTTGCAACACTGCTTTATGGTGGTTAGAGCTGCATGACAGATACGTTTCCCATCTCAAAAAATGTCAGTGATGTTCCTGTTCTACATGGGCATGAGATGTATTTGCAGTGCTTTTAGGGAGGAGTGCCTCTGCTAGAAACACACAGGCAGCATCTCCCTGGAACTCTCTGCCATTCTTCTGCATCTTAACTCACTGGTAGAATCAATGTTTGTTCTTCTGGCATAAGTGTTTTCTGTTGGAGCTGTTCTGTTCTTTATAAATAATTAAATAAGCCTTAAAACAAAAACAGGTAAGACAGCATCAAGTTTGACAGGACAGTGCTGGAATAAAGGCTGCAATATATAAACTGCAAAAATTAACTTTGAGCTTGGGAGAAGAGCTTGATTTTCACTAAATTACATCTATCATGGCATTTTTCTTCCTTTTGTACACTGACAAAATAGATTGTGTGTATAAATAGTTTCATGGGTCACTGCTTGATGGACTGTGCTCTTACAGACTTATAAATTAGGTGCAGGTGAAAAAAAGCAGTAAAATGTATTTGTTTTAATGTGGAAATTCAGATCCAATAATAACAATATTAACCTTGGCAATCAACAAATGCCCATCATATGGAACACATACGGTTTTATTGTGATCAACTGTTGTGCAAACAGACCAAGAAACACAGGACTCCTATTGCTAAGAACGGTTTCCCACTGCTGGTGCTTTGTCCTGTTTATCACCTTGCCGCAGTCACTGCTTTTAATGCACTTTTATAAACCAAGGCTGCTGCACTTTTACTTGGGTTCCTGTGGTTTGGTGTTGTTTTCCCCACCGCCCCATTTGTCAGTCTTCTTAAAACTGTTTTAATGAGTTGGAGGAAATCTTGCTTGAGCAAGGCAGATGTCCAAATGCTTATTTCCCTGATCTTGTTTCCTTTTCTGTTTTAGAGTAGATCTGCCAGGGGACCAGGTAACTAAAGTAACACTGGGAAGGCTTCATTTCAGTGAAACTACGGCAAATAACATGAGAAAAAAGGGGAAACCTAATCCTGACCAGAGGTATTGCTGTAGCTGGTTGGCCTCTGTGTGTGAAAAAAGGTGGTCTGCTTTAGGATGGAGCTGATGTTTGTGAAAAGTCTCAGAGTTGCTGAATCTTTGATTTTATTTCAAATTCTGTGATATGTGGTATCTGCTTAAAGGCCACTCCTCTAGAGAAGAATAATATATGTAAATAAAAACATTTATATGAGAATAAAAGAAAATATCCTCATGGTTAGAAGCTGTTTCAGAAAATCATAGCCAGAATGACAGCTGATGAAATCAGGAAGCCAAAAAATCAAATAATGATAATTTTTTTCTGGGGAAGAAAGGGTCTTCATCTTTAAATCTTCATTACTTAAATTTATCAAAATTACTGTAATTTTGGTTCGTTTTCAGTGATCGTGGGGATTGAAATAGCGTATTACATGAGAGTGAAGGAAATAGCTTTTCTTTCATACTGTAACTTAAATGCAGTTTTAAAATGTTCTAGATATCTTTTTATGTATCAATAATAGCAGTTGTATTTATAACTTTTGGTTTTTTTTTTTCTGTGAGAAGACATCACTTATTGTCTTGGTTAATTCAATTTCGAATTAGATACTTCATGCTGGTAGTTGGACTGTATGCTGTCTCTCAGGACCAGTTCTACCTACTGTCTGCAAATGTCTCTGAAAAGATCATTGTGAGGGTAGGTAGAAATCTGTATTGCGTTCATGTGAAAAGTATTTACTGTTTTGATATTCAAAGGGCACTGCGGGGGGGGAGATGATTCTTGGACATAAAAATTACCACTGACTCAGAAGTTAGACAAAAAAAGTTGCAGTTGCATATTGTATGAGTATGTTGTTATCTTTTAATTATTGGGATTTGAAGATATTAAAAGTAGAGCCACAGAAGAATTTAAAAAGAAAGCTTACTGTGAATGCCAGCACAAAATACATCGATTTTTCCAGATTTTTTTCTTTGAGGTGAAACAATTTCCTGCACTTGCCAGGAATTTGGTAGGTGCTTTCATTGGCTAGACACTTCATTTTCAAAAGATGATGAAAAAAAAAAAAAGGCAAGGAAAGAAGGTCAAGCAGCTCTAGGAAGGTTAAGACCCATAGCTGCCCCTTTCCAGCATCTTTCCTGAGTGTCCCAGCTCTTAATTTCATGGCTATAATTTGGTTTCAAAATAGAAAAAGGAAGCATTGGTCTGTCTTCCTCATGACTGTTACTTTTCAGCCCCTGATCCACATAAAGTTTTCCTATTATTACTCAGCTTTACCCTACAGTTAGAGTTAGACTTGAAAGAGAGAAAAACCCCAGAGCTCTGTTGTAAGAGGTTCTATGGAAGGTTAGGAGAAAGCGCAGTCCTCCAGTGAAAGGGGACTGCCAAGGGAAGGTGGGGGCTGCCAAAAGCTTTCAGCCCTGGCCCCTTTCGTGTGACCAATAGCTCGTAGTTAAGTTTTGCAATGGGCATAGTCTAAGGTTGTTTTTTTCTAGGGGGAAAATTATGTTTAGGGCTTAGAAAGCCAGGAAATACATAGGTGCCATGTGGTGAGGCTGCAACAGATGGTGACGGCTTCCGGAAGATTGCAGTCCAGTGAACTTTTTCATGTGGGCCAATTGAGGAGCTGTTTCTTGTTTCCAAGGAATCTTCCTAGTCCTTGGCTTATGGTGAGGAGTAGGCTTAGTATTTTGTTTTAAAGTCAAAGACCAGTAGTTTTAGTGTATTATGTGGGGCTGGGAAGGGGCTCCTAAAGAAAGGTGAGGGCTGTCAAAAGCTTTTAGGCCTGGCATCATTTCATGTAGGCCATTGCTTGGGTCCTTTGTGGCAGCCCATCCTCTGCCTAGGCTTATGATTGCGGCCTGGTTGAACATTTGGGTTGGGAGAGAGCAGAAGTGCAGATCCCTAGTATTTGCCGTGTTGCACAAGGTTTTCCAAAGGAAGATGAGGGCTTTCAGGTGGTTTCAGTCCTGGTTCCTTTTTGGTTTGGGCTATAACTTTGTGTCTTCTTGTGCCCTAAAGCCTCTTCTTGCAGTTGTGGTTAGTTTTTTAGAGGGCAGCGTGGCCAAGAGCTCGTTTCTGGGTGAAGCCATGAAAGGGCTTTGAAAGCAACATTTGGAGTTCAGTAGTTTTGTGCCCTGCTGAGTTGTATCATCCTGGCATTGCCATCGGTTCTTTTATTTCAGGAGACTGAAGCGTTGCGTTTGTATCATTCCTGCATATTTAGTTCTTTGCCTTTTTTGTCCATTAATTTCCATGATAGTGCTTTCATATGACTTTCTCATTCTGCATCTAGCAGTGTTAGAAATATCATCTCTCTACTGATTTGGGAAAGCTGTTGAATTTTCACATTTGGCTAATCCTTGGGATTACTGTTGCCTTATAAGATACATTTTTATGTAAGATTTAGAAGTTTTCATTTTTCTAGCATTTTTAATGTTAGACCCTTTTGAAATTTCAATGAAAAGAGCTCCTTCAGTGTGTGTGAGACAGTATTTTAGTAGGAATCCAGGGAATAAGATTTGAAAATGTAGATAGTATTACAGACAAAGAAAGAAGAATCCAGAAAAACAGAAAGACCAAGAGGCTGTGATTTGAAGTGGTGACAGGAAAACTGGGGGGGGGGGGGGGGGAAATGAAAGGTAATTTTCCAGATGTCTGTCAGGGCTTCAAGTGCCAGGGTACAGCAAGTCAGCCACTGGCTACTGTAAATTGGCAAAGCTGTGCAAATGCACTGTGAGAGAAAGCTGGTCATGTTCTGGCCCTTTATACACTCAAACCTAACAAAACTACCAGCCGAGTAGTGGTTATCAGGCATATCAGATCATGCTCTAATTGTGGCGGAGAGTGGTAAGTGCAGAGCACCCTGCCTTGTACGTGGCAAAGCCTTATGGAAGCCTGGCTTCTTTCAAGGATTGCAAACTTTTTATCGTGATCATGCTTTTGTTCAGACTCAGATTTTTAAAGCCTGAGTTCAAACTTAAAAAAAAAAAAGGCAAAATTAATTAGTGAAATCAAATGCTTTTTCTATTTATACACAGTCAATTGTTTTATTGGTGTCCTTTGAAGGACCCTGTTTCTTTGACAAGAAATTTCTAATCTGAGTTAATTTAAAACGTTACAGATGATTTTAGAAACCATGTGTGTTTAATCTCTGCCTTGTTTGCTCTTTTCTGATTTCCAGCCTCAGCTAAAATTCATTGGGAAATAAAGAATGGTTATGTTAATTGAAGGTGGGGTGGTTTAGATTAGATATCAGGAAGAAGTTCATCATGTGAAGCACAGGTGGTGAAGCACTGGAACAGGTTGCCCAGAGATGTTGTGGATGCCCCATCCCTGGAAGGGTTCAAGGCCAGGCTGGATGAGGCTCTGAGCAACCTGGTCTAGTGGAAGGTGTCCCTGCCCATGGCAGGGGGGGTGGAACTCGATGATTTTTAACGTCCCTTCCAACCCAAACCATTCTGTGATTCTATGTGGCACAACACCACACACAATTGAGCGCATTTGAAAAGTTTTGGACATGATCATTTAGCTTAAGGTGATAATAAAGTAGAATTGAAGGGAAAAAACCATGAGGCCAATGCTATGTGAGCAGAAACACTTAGAAGTGACTCCACTGTTTCTTTATGTGCTGTGGTAGAAGAGCTCTTGAATACAATTTAAATATTAAAGATGAGGCATTTCATTTGCCCTGAATTTCTAATGGATAAGCAATAGTACATCTATGTTATACTGTATCTTTAAACATAATTTTTTTCTTTCAGGCATCTAACCCAGGGCAGTTTGAGAATGACAGTGATGTGCTGTGGCAGCGAGGACATGTTCCAGAGACGATAGTCTATCATGGTCGAGTAGGAATTAACACAGATGCACCAGACGAAGCACTGGTTGTCTGTGGGAATGCAAAAGTTATGGGCAGAGTCATGCATCCATCTGACAGCCGAGCAAAACAGAATATCCAGGAGGTGAGGGTTGTGGACTATTTAGGGCATTTACGTTTGCACTACAGCACATGTGGGGATCATTGTTCTGACATGTGAAGCAGCTTCTTTATCCTGAGCGTGTTGAAATTCTGGCCTAAAGAAATTGGGTGTACTGCTGTGCTCTGTAGAGCTATTGCCTGTGGACTTTGGAAGAGGCTGACAATAGAAACTGGGGATATCTGTGTAAATGGGAGTTGTCAGACTGAAGGGTAACTGACAATACAAATAGCACTCTGCTAACGGGGAATGGGAAGATCGTCTGTATTTTTCAATGTGAAGACTGGCCGAGTGGCCATGTCAGGCTTGTTGCTATCGCAGTGAAGTCCTAGAGGCCATGACGTTCTTAGTGTTTCAACATGTGAGTCTTGGTATTTGTCCAACTAGGTCGATACGAATGAGCAGTTGAGAAGAATAACACAAATGAGGCTGGTGGAGTATGACTACAAGCCTGAATTTGCATCTGTTATGGGAATAAAAAATACCCGTGAAACAGGTATTCAGTAAGCTCTGTTCCCATTTTTCATTTACTTCCATTGTTGCTTACTGTGCCACAGTCTCTTCTAACACCCTGTTACTTCATCTTCACTTCTCAGGATACTACAATTGCATTCTTTGCAGTGTTTCTCGTGTGATATAAAAATGCCAAAATTAAGTATTGATGGTAATTTTCCAACTTCTGTTTCAATCTAGACAGGTTTTTTTTTCCAGAAGTTTAATGAGAATGAAATAAATTAAATAAATAATGATGAATAATCATCACAAAAAATTTTATTCTTATTGCAGAGAAATGGGAATTCTAAAGGTTTCTGTTTGTTATGTGTGGAGAGTGTGTGTGTGTGTGAAATCCTGGATTTCCCTAACACAGAGAAGTTCTAGATCATGTTTGGCCCTACCTGTAGCTTTTAGGGTGAGCAACTCAAAGCACACAACCATGGTCAATGGTATGCCACTGTCTTTCCTGACTTTAATTTCTATTATCTTGTGAACAGGAGTAATAGCCCAAGAAGTAAAGGAGCTTTTACCTCAAGCTGTTAGAGAAGTTGGAGATGTTGCTTGTAATGATGGAGAAAAAATAGAAAACCTCCTCATGGTTGACAAGGTATGGTCTTGAGAGAGGAAGTGGAGGTGTGGATTTCCACTTTCCTTTCATATATGGAGCTATAAACACACATTGTGCTTTATACAAAGCTGTAGGCCTACGCATGTGTTTACAAAAATAGTTCTGCAAATCACTGAGAAAATCTGAACCATCAGGTGTCAGCAAATGGCTGAATCTTTTAATGACAAGTATTTATATTAAAGCCTCATTATGATAATAAATAAACATAAAGAGGAAAGGAAAATATGTAACTGCCGAATAAAGGTGGGTACCGATTTCCCAGCATTGGTCCAACAAGTGGGACTCCAAAATACTCTTTTGTGTTTAGGTGTTTAAGCTAATTCCAGTCTTCTGGAAGTGAATTAAGCAAAGTTGGCATTTTATTTGATAAATAAATGTGTTCTTACCCTAATCCTGGTGTAATCATGTCATATCAGATACAAATGCTAACTGTGTGATGTGTGGGAAGGTTGTTTTTTTTGGCTGAGATCCTTATTATAGTTTCAAAATCACATACTATAAAATGTTTCTGGAGTAAGTACCTTGTTCATAGGTTGGAAACAATGCCTTAGTCTATTGTCCTGTGCCCTCCTCCCCTCCTTTTCCTGTAGAAATAAGACTGCAAGGGACTGTCAGTCATGGAATGCAGTCCCACAGGCCTGCAGACCGCGCTTGTCTGGAATGTTGCTCAGAGCAGCAGCCCCTCTGTTGTGCGCTGGTTCACTGCAGCTCAAGGACCACTTCCCAGCTTTTTCCCACTTACAGCTGATAATGGGAAGAGGGAGGTTTTAAAGATTGCTAACCTTGTATTCATTATAATCGTGCTTTCTTTCATTATCTGATAGAAACAGAAATTTACACCAGCAATCTTGGAGAAAATATCTATAAAAAATACTGCATTTCACTTATCTTCTTTTGATAGGCTACAAATAAGTTAAATTCATAGGTTAGATCTGCTAAACTGTATTCCATATAAAGGAAGCATGAACTAGACACTTTGAATAATGCTGTGGAAAGAGCACTTTCTAGAGATACTAAAAGGAGACTTTTATAAAGTTCACTGTATTTGGCCAGGGTTCCAGCTTGTAGCTGATTTTTAGATGCTGATAGAAGAGTGGTGATGTTAGTGACACTAGGTTCGTTTTGCTCTTTAGCCCTTCCTGTTACATTGTGTGACAGCTGCAGCATCGTTTGCATTTTTGAGCCCCCTCCCAAAGATCTTCAGGGTAGTCTTTTTTTTCTGACAAAACTTTCAGGTTGGACAGCTGAACTTTGGATTTATATCTGTCTCTTTGCTGCAATATCACACAAAATACCACCTCTAGCAGTACTTCTCAGCACTGCTGTTTGGGCCCATCGTGTTCCCTTTCTCCACTGTAGCTTGGGTCTCTGGACAAGAGAATGCATGCCAGAATGTCTTCCAGGGATATGACCTAACAAATGGAGAAAGCCTGCTGCACTCTGCAGGGTGTGATTTTTGCCCTGGATGTGGCTCAGGCAGGAGTGAGTTGTTACAGGAGTGGCTTATTTGCTGCTTTGCACCTTCTGCTTTCCTAGGTCTGGGATCATTTCACAAATGCTTTGACGTTGTTTTAATAGAGTCAGGTAAATCTGTGCTTCTCCTCTTTCTCCTAACACCTGTGGCAGAGCATGTGAATGTCAATCCTGTGACTTTTGGTGTGACAGAGGGAGTAGAGATCTGTGTCTAACAGTTTCAGATATTGAACCTATTAATAAGATATTGAATTAAGTTATTTGGAACATCTGATGTTCAGGTGGAACATCTGCTTTAAATGTCTGGAGCTCCCAACTCCAGAATAGCTCAGCACCTTGAGTAGTAAATGGATGCTGCTTCATACCTTTGCTTTCAGTTAGACAGGTGATGAGGCCTTGAACTTTATCTCACGTTTCAAGTTGAGTTCCAGATAAGCAGGATACTGGCTGGTTTGGTTGTGTCTTTTTGTCAGTTACGTGTTTGGAGCTGTCAGACTCCGTAAAATTAATTGATTACATGACACATTTGAATGATGCTTTACTACTTACTAGAGGAATGTCTCAACTGTGTGGAAATTTGCTGTTTTCTCCTCAGACGCACTGTCCTCAGTGCTTTGTGAAGCAAGGCCATAAAACTCTAATCAGGCCTTTTCGGCCAAAGAAAGTACTCCTTCATTTTGCCAGATGAGCCATTTTCTCAGCTAATTGAAGTCACCTAGAAGAGATTCATGCATGATTGGAAGAGAATGGAGAGGACCACTGTTACATGATAGGAGGACAGTGATTTCACAGTTCTAGACACAAGGTTATTTTGAAGTCACTTTTTAGTTAAACAGGCTGCTGTTCTTCTGGTAGCAAAGAAGTTTGCAACTTACCACCAACACATGTGTTCTGGTTCTGTTTATACAAAATACTGCCTGTTTTTGTGGAATCCAGTCACCTTTAAAAGAAAGGGATGTGTGGAATTTACAGCGTGAAAGGCAAAACTCTGCTTTTGTCTTTCTTCTGCATGACTTGACTGGACTAGAACACTTAGCAACATCAACTGCAGTAATAGCTTCATCCAGGGTTTAATGTCATCAGTTTGGTTGTACATTGGTATTACAAAATCTGTTCTTTCACACACATCAAAGAAAGTGTGACCAGTAAGTAAGATTAGTAACCATTTTTGGTTTAGAAATGGATGAAATAGTACAACCAATCAGGTAATAACTGAGGGCTTTTCTGGCAGCAGATTGATACCTAAATAATAAGCAGCAGGTAAAAGAATAGAAGGCTTTTCCTGGGTAAAATATTCAGCAGTGCACGGAGTGTGTCTGAACTGTTAGTTGTGGTATTGCTCACGGTATTAGAACTTACAGGACTTCCATAAGAGGCTGGAGAGGTTGAAGGGGAGAACAAAATATGCCATCACAACTTGGCCTCTGGTTTGGATCTTTCACTGATTCCTGCGTGATTCATGTTATGTGTACAACATGGATAGAAACTCTGGCTTGTCTGAGCCAGGTTAATCAATCCTTTAGGTAGATGGTTGGATGTGCATTTTGTGAAAGGATTCTGGAGTCTACGTTCAGCTGCAGCACTACAAGCCTAATAGATGCCTTTTGTGACAGTGTTAAGGTTTAAAATTAAACACAGTATGAAGGCAAAATATAGTTTAAATTCTTGGTCTACAAAGCCCTTTAATTCCTTCAAGTTTTTCTGCAAGTCCTCATTTTCAGTTTACTGCAAATTGAACATAGGCACTTCTTACAATCTAGCAAAAGGGTTTTATAGTCATAAGTGCATCCAATTTACAGTGAGATAACCTGTGTTTGCATTTTAAATATTTAGTGTGTCCTTACATAGGTGAATGCTGTACTCATTACTGCTTGTTATATCTGACTGATGAATATACTCTATCTTTGTCACTGTTTTGCTTCTCAGGATCAGATCTTTATGGAGAATGTTGGTGCTGTAAAGCAGCTTTGTAAACTAACCAACAATCTTGAAGTCAGAATAGAAGAACTGGAACAGTGGAATAAGAAACTGGCCAGGCTGAAACGGATGAGCAGCTTAAAGTCAACAGCAAGTGAAGAGAGCAAAGTCAGGTACCTCTGTCTGAAATGTTTTCTGGTAATTGTCACAGAAATTGGTAAAGTCACCTCTGTGGTAGAGGTGAAAACCAATTTTGCTTGACAGTGGAGTTCAGCTCATTTCCAGCATTTAAGTTGTGCAAAAAATACAAATTTCTCATTTTTTTTAAGTCACTGACAAAATTAATATTTGAAATGGCTGTTAAATTGCGGTCAGTTTTGTGATTGCTTCGGTTGCATAAGGTCGGGGCAGATTATGTCCAGTTACAACCCTGGAGTTTGGAAATTGTTGCTACGAGACATCTGCAGAACTGCTTCTGCGAGAAAGAATCTTCATTAGTGCTTTACTGGAAATGATGAGCATTTCCTATTTCTAAACCGTCTCCCAAAGTTTTCTTTGAAATCAATGAAGCATTTAATAGCATTCACCTCAGTGAGTTAACTGGAGACCTTTGTTCTTAAAAATGAATCTGATGACACTTCTGTCTTTCTCTTTTTAAATGTTAAAATTGCAAAAACAAGTGACTAACATCCTATTGAAAATGTCTCTTTTTCACTTTTTAGTTGCTGAAACATTTGAATGTTAAAGAGATTTTGTCTCTTACAGCAGGTATAGTCGAGCTACTAGTCTTTTGCCATCAAAAAAATCAGTCCCGCTAAAATCCGGCAAGGTGAGTGAAATTAAATACATGCAATATGCCTGTGAGAGAGCTTTTGTTAAGTGCTGAAATACTGGTGAAAGCTATCATGTTTCTAAATACAGAATCAAATTTCTTAGCCAGAACTATTTAGTATCATGCTAGAATCTTAAAAACTATCTGAGCAAGAAAATATGTATGCGACACTTTCAGTTCTTGCCTAGACCTTGTGTATTTGAGTACATCCATGCTGTGTGATGGTGTGAAGGAGACCTCAGCAGGAGGGAATTGTTGAGCCTGTTGGTGTGCTCACATGTGCAGCCTTACACAGAAATGCTCATTTCTGTTTGGGATTCTGCACAGTGATACTCATCTTTCTTCCTTGGATGAGTCTTTTACTGTGGTTTACAGTTAACATCTGTTTTGTACTGGATAATGCTGTCTTTCAGGTGGTTAAGACCTGGAGAGGATGTTGTTGCTATTGCTGAATGACTTCCTCTTGCCCGTATCCTGGTACAGAAAGAAGATACCCCTTTTCACAGGGAATGAATGAGTTCTATGTTGACTTTTCAAGACAGTCTTCCTAGGCTGCTAGGTGCTGTTCTTCAAGATGAACCAATGCTCATTTGCCTACCTTGCTTTTGCCAGTGCCAAAAGCAAGAGCAAATAACAGTTCAGATGTTCTTTATTCCAAAATGACAATCATCGTCTAAGATCATCCTACTTGTTTGGAAGGTGCCTTTCTTCAGTGTTTATACCAGCCCTTGTTTAACACTGAACATATAATGACAATCAAATGCTCCATCATCTAAGATCATCCTACTTGTTTGGAAGATGCCTTTCTTCAGTGTTTATACCAGCCCTTGTTTAACACTGAACATATACTGAAAGCTGTTCATCTTTCAGTTCTGGCTACTGCTTACTGAGTTCTTAATTTGATTTTGAAATACTTCAAGACTGTGAAAGATGGCAGGGAAAAAAGAGAAGGAGCTCTTATTTTTACCCACGCTTTCTTCCACTGCAATGTTTGTGTCCCCAGACTATCAACAGCGTGCAGTGCACTCTCAGTTTTAGGGAGACTTTCATGTGTTAAGTTTTTCTCTTTAGACGTTGACCCCTATATATAGATCACTTGTACGGTTCCTCTAAAAGAAACAAGGTTAACTGAAAATCAGACTAGTGTAGTATTTCTTGATCTATTAGTAGTAGCTTAATTATGTGCCACTTATATTAACCAAACTTTTTTTTTTCCCTAGGTTTGTTTGTCAAAGAGGAAAGAGTCTTGCTCCATGAAGATTTTCCGGGTGACTATAATAGCTTTGATTGCTATTATGGCACTATGGTAACAATTAATTATCAACAAGTTGGCTTGCTTCTCCCTTTCTACTTATCAGAAAGAAGATTGCAATTTTTTTTCTTCTTCTCACCCTTCCTACTCAAAGAACACAATGCATTAACAGTGAATATGCTTGGTAATAATTATGAAAAGTGAGATACTCATGTGTTGCACACATGACTAATCTCTGTTCGTGTCACAATATATGGTGCACCTTGGATGTATCTCAGTGGCTCATGCTACAGGTCCAAAGCTGGACTCATGAGACTCTGCATGTTTTATGCAATTATTCTGTGCATGAGTACAACTTCTGATGTACAGAGTGATTCTGTTGTGTGAATTGAAGCTGGACTAGTTCCCAATGTGGTGGGCAGTCCTGTGACTCTGAAAGTTTAAGTTGTGACATTGGACTTGTGAAAGTATGCTCTGGACTTGCCTTTTTCTGTTGTCAGTCCAAAAACCTGTGGTTTACAATCTCTCTGTGAAATAAGTACTTTGAACTGGTGGTGTGATTCTATTTACAGTGGAAAACCGACCATATTTTATGTTGAATTTAGCTGTGTACAATTATCTCACCTAAACCCCATTAAAATCATGTGAAATTTTTCCCGCCAGAGGGTGATGTGATCAGATAGTTAACTCTTGCATTACTAAATTTGGACAAGGTGCTGTCAAGGTATTATTCATATTATGTTGCATAAGAGATGGATGTAAATCTGCAGAACAATTCTCTTTCTACAGTGCTTTGACCATATCGACCCTATATGTACTTAGCATTCATGACAGACATTTTGAAAAACATCTGATTTACAGGCAAGTAGTTGACTTAGTGAATTAGCATTCGTAACACGTTGTGGACTGATCTGTTTTGGTCCGCAACTCTGACGTCCATTTCTTAATGAACTGTTTTTCTTCATCAGCAGTACCTCAAGTTCCGTTGTACTCTCTCCCTCTACCACTACAGCAGGTACTGTATCTCTGCTTGCCTGCACACACATCCGCTTCTGTGCTATTATGAAATGCCAGCAGACATGCGGCACTAGTGAGAATTATGTCTATTTTTTTTTCCCTTTAGCACTGCAGGGGGAAAGCACAATATCTCAGAGCATGCAACCCATCAGCAGGATCCCTGAAGTGGATTTCTGTGACATTTTGCCTTGTGACAAGGTCTATTGTTGTCCAATTCATCCACAAAAAGCCAGATCTCTAAGTTATGAGAAAACCAATGAAAAGGAGAAACGTAAGTTAAAACATTAATTTCTATTATTTACCATTTGAATAAACACTATGTGAAGAGCGTGGGAGAAAGGGCAAGAAAGTTTTAAAGCAGTTAGCTTCCAACAGAAGTATGTTCCAGAAGATTTAAAAAATGCTGATATAACTAATCATCACTGCAGTTAATATATATGTTTTTGTAAAATCTGGCCTGGTTGCCTTTAAGAGTTCTTTGTCCTAAGGTGTTTTGTCAGGTGTCACTGTTCTTCCTGGCCATTCATGGTAAATGATTTCCAGTGAACCAGAAAGTCACTAATTCCTTTAATTAACCTTTGGCTACAGTTGGCCAGGAGTTGAGTGGTGGGGGTAGTGGAGGGTGAATTAGCAGATGTAAAAAAAACCCCATAACACTTAATGGTGTCACAGTGTGGTGATATTACATATTTTCTGTGGCAGAGACAGAAATTTAATTGCCAAAACCCATAAATCTTATAATTAAAACTCTACTCATTCAGGCGGGGGTTTTGAGTAGAGAAGTGTTATTTGAAGGCAGAGCTCTGTGAAATAAATTACTTTTACTGGAATGAATTATCTTTAAGATATTGTTTGCCAGGCATTATGTGTGCAATATAGGAGTATGTGCGTTGTTTACAACTTTTATAATATTTATGAGAAAGATTTTGTACATAGGAGTATGTAGAAGCTGTTGGGATCTGTACCCTCGTTTCCCAGACCTTAACATTGTCAGTGCCTAGAAGCAAGTGTTAGTATTATTAAATCCAGTATTCATACTCTTTCCTTCTTGGCCTTGGGAACAATTCTTGCACCAACCACAGCTGACAAGTTGAGGTGAACGTGGGGACAAATGCAGTTCAGCCTCTGTAGTACAAATATCTGCCAGGGCAAGCGATGCCAGTTGCTGTGACACTCATAGCACACCAGCGCTTCCAGTGGGATTTGCCCATTGGCCATTCTTTACGCTACAAAGTGCTGTTGTCTGCAGACAAGCTGCATGCAAGTGGTCCTTGTGATGCTTGTGATTCGTACTGCAGTAAGCCCTGTGGCAGATGTAGCTCAATACAGGGCTTTCAAGAGGTCGTACTGAAGTGATTTGTATTGCTCAGAAGCCTGAAAGAGTTTGATTAATTAATAAGACATTAATCTCGTTTACAAATGAGGGAACTGTAGATGGATGAAAATGAAATGTGAAAACCCTCTATTCCCAGCTGTCTGCTTTTGATATTAGGTGGAAAGAGTAGGTAAGAAATAAGGAAGAATAAACACAAGCATTACCTTCTCAAGGTCTTACGCTCCAAATAGCATTAAGTGTGGATCCAAGAGTGAAAAATCAGTGCAGTACACAAGCTACTGAAATATTTCAGATCTGCACAGGTTTAATGAAGCTGAATGTATCCCCGGATGGAAGGTAACAGTGACAGTATGAAATCTGAACAGAAGAAAAACCAACAAACTACTTAATGTGGCTGTAGCCAAGATAAATGAAAAGGAAAATGGTTTCAGAACAAAAAGCTGAGTTAACTATCAGGAATAATCAAGATAAAGAGTGCATATTTTAGAATCAACTGATTAGTCTGATTCATGAAAATATAAAACTGTTTGGTATTACAATTGAATTCAATGCTAATTTAGGAGTTCATATTTAACAGACCTTTTACTATTCTGCCATGCGATAGCTCAATTCTGTGGGTGCAGGCTACTAGTTGAGTGTGTTCTGTACATCCAATCCCTTGCATCTCAGAATTGATGAGATTTTAGGAGTGTTGCAGTAGAAACAAAAGCATTCATAAGCAAGAGAAAATCTATTAAGCAAAAATTCAGCACATCTTTATGTAGTCTAGCTTAATGTGGCCTTTTCCCTGATACTTTGTTTGTTTTAAGAACTGGTTTCTATGAAGGATTTGGGCTTTTGAACTCCTATTGTTTTTAGTGGAAATGTGGAGTGTGAATACCGTTCAGTGTCTGGACTTTCTCTGCTTTCTGATTCCATGCCATTAGTTCTTACTGCTTGCCTTTTCGTGTTGTCTCTGGTAACCAGGACTTGTTCCTACTTTCTCTTAGAGTGTTTCTCCCTGGTGTCTCTCCCCTCACAATAAAAGCTTGGTGAGGGTTCCTGCTGGATTTTGCTCAACTTCATGCATTTTCATTTATTGTCTTCAGATGGCAGTTAACAGACTCATAGAAAGCTGCTTCCACAAGAAATCATCAGCAGTTTTTTTCCATACTGGTTATAGAATATTCTAAGTCATGTGAATTAAAACCAGAAGGTGTTTGAGGGGGAAAAAAAAAAGATACCAAATTTACTGGATGAGTTATCTGAATCCTATCTGAAGATAAGTTGCCCTCATTACATTATGGTCATGCACATACTTTTATATTTGTTCTTGAACTGGTTCTTCGAACCCCACATGGGCCTTTGAGCAAGCCCTCAGAGTTGCCATATGTGACAGAGTGAAGTTTACCACAATTGAGTGAAGGCTGGATTTTGTGAGTTGTGGTGGTTACTAGTGTTCTTACCTGGCAACTTGAGCTCCAAATAAAAATAACTTAAGGGTCCTCTTTGCTACGTTTCATTTGGATCGCACCAGCCTGAAGGACAATGGAATAGTAATTTTATGAAGAACAAAATTAAAAAAAAAAGTAAAAATTATTTTCTATACTGGTAACTGATACAGTTTTAAATGGTTGAAATCTTTAGTGAAGTCAATCTGTCTTCATTCTAGTTTTTACACAAAGTTCTGATACCCATGAAAGAATGCTTTCTTTTGTCATAAAATCATAGAATGGTTTGGGTTGGATGGGCCCTTAAAGATCACCTAGTTCCAACCCCCCTGCCATGGGCAGGGACACCTTCCACTAGACCAGGTTGCTCAAAGCCTCATCCAGCCTGGCCTTGAACACTTCCAGGGATGAGCCATCCACAGCTTCTCTGGGCAACCTGTTCCAGTGCCTCACCACCCTCTCCATGAAGAATTTCTTCCTGATATCCAATTTAAACCTCCCCACTTTCAATTTAAACTTGTTACCCCTTGTCCTGTCACTACAGACCCTTGTAAAAAGTTGAGGGTACACTCGATCCCATCATCCATGTCACTAACCAAGATATGAAACATTACTGGTGCCAACACTGACCCCTGAGGAATACCACTCATTACTGGTCTCCACTCAGACATTGAGCCACTGACCACCACTCTGAGTGTGACCATCCAGCCATTCATCTGTCAAAGAATCTCAGTATTCGACATTTAGTAGTTCAGAGTATGTAATAAACAATCCTGCCAACATTTACACCGCTGAAGTATTGCATCTGCAGGGAGAGCATCTGTAAGTGAGTAATGCTTTACCTTTACCAGGGGATATAGTTTTTCCTACAGAACAATTCTCTGTTACTGAAAATGCAAAAAGGCAAGAAACACTTAACACATGCTAACATAACCAAACTATTTAGAGAAAACAAGGAAGTGGAAGGAAGGTGTGGCAACTAGTTTGTATATTAAAAGGAAGAATGACAGAATGAATAGGTAGGTCTTTTTTAGATCTACCTCAAGGCCTACTATACATGTACAACTGATTGCGTGTGTTTAGTAGCCATTTTTCTAGGTGTGGGGCAGCAGACGACAGTGTAAAGAAATGCGAGAGCAGGTGACTACCAAATGCTTCAGTTACCACCTAAGTTGGCAGAACAGGTGTATCAGTATGATGAACAAATAAATAGAAAACATATTCAAGGAATAACTATCTGCAGTATCACAGATTCATGCCAAAACACAAAAATTATGGAAATCCCGGACATGATTTTGCATTACATAGCTTCTGGGGCCTCAGATTCCAGTTGTTAATGTTGTTCCATGCTCTCAGTCACCTAATAGCATAGGAAAAGTCTGATTTTTCATATTTCCCAATATTGAAATGAAAGCCAAAATCTGGAATAAATAATAAGATAGTAAGTTCAGTCCAGCTTTCTTGTTTCTCTCACAGTGAAATAATGCATTTTGATCCTTCCTTTGTAAAATGATTTTTTTATACAATGAAGCAGTAACATCTGTTCTAAAGTAATTTTGACATCAGAATGCTTCCTTTGGAAAACATGGGAATGGAGCATTTTGGTGTTCTAGAAATACATGATTACTTTTTTTCCCCAGATGAAACAGTATTTGATGTGTGTTAGTTTAGGTAAGATCAACATGTCTCAGTGTCAGCTTATTGGTAACATGTCTCTGGACAGATCCTTTGCTGGCAATTATTGTAAAAGCACAGGAATAGCTTTAAACAGTTCCCATGGGCTTGAAGGGCCTTTTGCCTTCCCGAGGTGGTACAATATGATGATTATTCAAAAGGTCTTTTGAAAATCTTTTCAAGAGAAAATGAATAGTTAAAAAAAACCCAACCAACCAAACAAAAAAACCTAGTAATCATCAGTTTATATTTCCCAATCTAGTTCAATAATGTTTGCAATTAGAGGTGACATCAGTGAATGGTGATCATGTTAGAGCTGTACATTAGTTTCTTTAACTTGGTGACTCGTCCTCTCTCTGAAATACTGCGTCTCAGTTTGGTCAGTCCTCAGCGTCTTATATCTCACATTCAAAAAGCTAAGTTACTCCC